ATCTGTTCGCCGATGAGCGCACTGATGATGCCTCCTCGTAAGGTGACGAAACGTTTGCAAATCAATTACAAAGCTCGGCGAACAGATCAACCACCACCTGATCAACAACCCATTTGTCTTGAACTGTTGATCTGGAGTTAATCTTACGAATATTTTAATCTGGCGGGCAGTGAACGACTTTGCTTCACGTACAAGGATAGGTGCTTTAAGTCAATCATTCTTCCTAGCAGCAATTTTGGCCTAACGAATCACCGCTTCGTAAACACTTTATGCATTTTGGGGAATAGGAAAGGTATACTTCATTGTGAGGCGTTTATGCACCAAAACATCCTATTTAACACAGACAGTGTGTCTTCACTCCATTTAAAAGTGAAGGTTTTGAGTTTCACTCAATTTATCAAATATCCACGTGGCATTTTTTCAGCACCGAAATCCACAACCACTATATATGGTGAGCAAATATTTTTAATATATCACTTATATTGAAACCAGGCTCCATGTGTCTTTTGTTGATGCAACAACAAGTGTACAACCTTTTCAAAGCTCAGACTGAGTTCAAGGTCGGAATCGAATTCACATAGTCTGAACGCACATTTGGTTATTGTTGTCATGTAATATGTAGATCATCACGTGGCAGTTGAGATCAAAGAATCAATGCAGGTTTAAAGTATGCCTTCAGTACTGATGGCCCCTACGTCCTCCAACTATAATGACTAGCTATTCCCCATCATTGAGTAGTAGTATCAACGATTTCCTGGTGTTCAAGTGCTCAGTTTCAAAACATATCGGCTTCATGACTTAAACTAATGAAACAAAGCCAATTTTGGCGGAAGAAAGCAGCCGTTCTACTTCAAGTCAAGTGACAAACCGTGGAACGTAGCAAAGTATGTCAATCGTATGCCTGGATCAACAGTCCCAACCCAGTTTACCGAAAGCCTTCCAAAGGAACCGACCTTACTGATCGAATGGGGAATAAGCTATCAATCTGAAGTAGAACTAAGTTACAATAAATTACTCAGGGGACTCTCCTCCAGTGTGTGTGACAGTACCCTTAACAAGACACAATGGCTTTTCTACGCAGGTATTATTGGGTGTAAAAATACCCGATGACTGGAAGTCACAGAAAACAAGAGATCTGTTCTCCATGGTGCCTTCTCTTCGGCTAGTTACTACATGGATCATTTGTTGCTCAAAAGACCATGCGACCTTTACAATGAAGCAGAAAAGTAGGGTAAACTTGCTATGTCAGATGTTTTTGTCACTACGGCAAAAAACGGTCAACTAAAACCGAATCGGATAAGAATGAAGTGTAAACTGGTGAGCTGTTCAGTTGCTTTAAGAAGGACCCAACCGTCACCAACATAAGTGCGCTCTAACCTATCCGGCGTATCACAACCGTGGCAATAAGAATATAGAAGAATTACACCTCCATGTATCAGGAACATAACCGAACTCACCTTAAATGGGTTACTACAAGGTAGGATAGGAAAATCTCCTCAGAGAAGCGGCTCTAAAACTGAGTGGAATACTGAACGAAGAGAAAGAATTTGAGGCCTTATATAAGGTTTGACGTAAGGACGTAAAATTCTTGTAGGAAACAGGCAGCACAGAAAAATAGATGACAGGAAATCTACAACATTGACTGATTAGCGATAGTTACCTCAAAGACCCACGAGTTATGGGCAATACCCGTGTAGTTGATGGAAGCATGACGTTGCACACTTATCCAGACGTTCAGTCTGGAAATCCAGGTAGCTGAAAATATCTTCCAGTAATCGACAAATACACTCATTTCTCACTTGAATTATATCAAAAGAGAGAGCTTTAATTGAACCTTCCGTGAAAACCAAAGTGACATGCATAAAGTTGTGCAATTTCGGATCTAGTAGAACTCATGGTTGATGAAAACTCGGGAACTGTGCCTATTCGATGAGCCCCAATAATGAAGAAAACGACCATAGGCTGTTAGAGTTTCTAGCAATCTAGTGAGTAGATTCATTTGTGGTCCAGTAACGAGATTTTACCTAACAGCGAACCAAAATGCAGCTACACGCTCAATTTGGCCGCGGTTAACACGGTCATCTGCGTTTCCTAGGAGGAACAATCGAGTAAAGCGCTGAATCCAACTCCAAGTCGACGAAAAAATAGACAGGGGCAAACAAACTCACTGGGGGTCCTTTAAAATCAAGCGCCCGAAGCTCACTGATGATATCATTCGGGTGGTGAAACAACTCAGCGAATGCAGCAAAAATCAAGGGCCAGGTTTGCCTGTTTCCTCAGTATTTGTATATAAAATGTGGCACAGTTTTTTTGTGTCTTATCTTTGTCCACTCAAAATGTTGAATGGATCAGCCATGCGTGACGGCCCGTGCTGTGTGTGTCGACCGACCTTTGTTATGGGGAGGACTTAATAGGACGGATCGGTCTGTTATGTTCACGAAGCTTGGCAAACATCTTGTCCATATTTTATCCCAAACCGGGTTACATTTGCAGTTGGTGGTTGACTAACAACCTTTAGTTTAAGTATCAGGTTGTGGCATGCGACCCGCCAGTGGCTTTCATTTTGTCATAGAGGTCATTATTAATCCTAGCGATCCCGATAAAACGGCTACCTTTTCATGACCATCCAAAGAAATGTTAAGCAACCTGTTCAGCAACATCTGAGAAATCTTTGGCAACCCAAAAACAATATGAACCGCAAACGATTCCCCGAAAAACCGCAATCCCAACGGAAAAAGCAAAGATTTCCTTCCGATTTATTCTTTGTACTTCGTGTGTGGATTTCGAAGCACCAGTTCTGAGGCAAGTGAAGGATGAATAGTGCGCACCTTATGAATCTCTTTGCAGATACAACCGAACCAGGCTGCATTCGGATCCACAGGTCGCTTGTAAACAACGTTTTTAACTTGTACTGTGATAAACTAAGCACAAAACGTGATGCTTCTTCCTGATGGGCTTCGCAGATAAGCAAGAAACTTCCGAAGTTACTTGCGCATGTGAATTTTGCCTTACGAGTGAAGTACATCACACGTGCAACTTTCGCACAATACATAAAACACCACTTGGTGGTATAAAAAGCACTATTAATCGGTGCAATCCGTCAAACTTTCAAGACGTATTCCGAAGGTGTTTGCAAACTATGGAACTGTATTCGTCTAAGTGGAGCCCCTCTGAATGGAGGCCTCAAAATCTTTTGAGTCATGGAAAAGAATACGCTCTCCAGGTAATAACTAAAAAACTCCCTCTATATTCGGTTTGACAATCTGTTACCTTGTCATCACATTTGTTTGCAATCTAGAATAGTCTGATTCTACTTTTTCTCACGTTTTACTCAGTTTCATTTTACTTACTGAGGATTCCTTCACCCACACTGAAAACCCTATTTTAGTTACAACCATGGAGGTTGCAAGACTTCCAAATCGAGCAACCGACTTTTGGACGGCGGATGGAGAAGTGCGGAAGGAGGTGAGTGCACAGACTACAGTTTTTGACGCGCGTTAGAAGACTCATCAGCAAGCAAAGAGCGAAAAAAAGAAGGCCTGTTTACTAGAAAACACCAACTGAACAGCTACAGACTATTGGAGAGGGGAGCAAACCTCTCATATACATCTTGTTTACAAAAACCGAATAGCCATATTCTCCTTGAATGCATTCCTCCAAACTTTCCTAGATATTTATTGCCTGTCACTCAACTGCAAGCATATGCTACAAAGCAACTCCACAGATTTCGTAACAGATCTCACTTTTCAAGAGATGTGAATCGGATTTACGATAAGAATACTACTCGCATGCCCAATCCGTGGTAGCCACCGTTACCACAGAAGCAGGACAGTAGCAGGAGCATTTTTGACCGAGGCGAAACCACACCCGTGACAGAGCATACGTGACCTCCCGTGTGATCTTAGAGAGATTTAGGCTTTTCTCTGTCGAGAGCGTCAGGATTTATCCTGACGCTTTCCTTGAATTATTTTGCTCTTTAGTGTCCTGAAAGCAAGAAGCGTTTTTGGAAACTAACCGGAGCCTACTGTGACCTACTGCTGAATGATCAACATGACTACTTCCTCTCTATGCCAAGAAATTCACCTAGAACAGTCAAATTACTTTCATTTGGTAGGAAAGATTTGGTAAATTTAGTGAACCAGAGGCTTGTTTCTACGTTTCCGTATTTTTTGCCTAAATTCTCGTTGAAATTTTCTGAGTTATGCCAGTTGCCACTCATTATTGAATTTGACTGTGACCATACCCGAGAATTGAGCAAATCATTCAGGTGACTTCCTGCGTAATCAATGAAAACCAAACATATCGTGGGTCTATGCAACCGAAATTCCCGGACAGAACGAAACGTTCAACTGTGTCACGACAAAGTCAAGTTATACGCCCCGATAGGTTCACATTTCTCTAGTTGCCTTTATTTACGTATGTAAAACAGGTAAGAACATAAATCAAGACGAGACTATCAATTAGAAGACGGACGATTATTGGCTGACTAGAAGTTCTGAGTCGACAGCTTTTGTGAACATACTACTGGTTAATAGGTCCCGTTTAACGCGGCCTCAAAAATTGTCATTATTTTGGCGGTTCGGGGTTTCGTAACAAAACTGGGAAGCAGTTAGTTGGGTCGGTGAAAGGGCCGGTATCAAGGAGATGTCTTGCGATCGAGTTTCTGTATAACCGCTGACCCATGTAATTTAGTTTCGACTGTTTCGCAGTTACCCCACAGACTGCTTCAAAGCACCTTTGAAAAACCCGAACCCCAATTTACTGGCCATTTTCGAGACTACATTAACTAGGAATTGTCAACAAGCACTACGCGCGCGGGGGTGTTGACTGAGAACTGGGGCCACTAGTCATGTGACCGAACTCACATAACCAGTAACTGTCCATTAAACAACTTCCGCTTTCTTCGCCCTATATAATCTCTCGTGCCTTACTCACACGAGGGAAGATAGGGAAATAAATTCTAACATACGTAACATGGATCCTCTCTCTGTCTTGTGAAAATGGACGATAGGGACTATGACTTTCAGCTTTCAACCCTTGTTTACTCCAAAGTTCCACCATATATGATACGCTCGTCCTCAATTCAGATTAAAAAGAAGGCCATAATGGTTAACCCGATTGCAATATTTGGGGAATCAACGGAAAACGTATTCAACGAAAACTACTTTGTAGTTTTTGATGAAGCAAAGTTACCGTCGGCTGGTTGGGCTTCATCTTCTGAATGGACAGATCGTCTAAACAAATCCTTCTACGTTGGTGAATATCTTTTTGGAATCAAAAGTAAGTTGCATTTGTACATTGTGTTGTGTACCGGTTGTTTGATTTACCCCAGGGAAAAGTGGAAGCACAATTCAAGAAGTCGTCTTTTGCTGTAATGAGACTGCGGTAATTTCAAAGCCTTAAAAAAGATACCAGTATAAATTTCCAACGTGTCTCTGAATCTTTGGATGTCTGGACAAATGCCTAAAGGTGAGTTGGTGTTAGGTTTGGATGTCTTGAGGGGACTGGAAGCTTCAGTAATCGAGAACCTAGTGGGACAAATTCGAAAGAGATGCTTGAAGATCCTCATCCAGACATTTTAAATTATCTATCCAGCTATCTCAAGGACGTTTATGTTATATTTTCCAGCAATGCGGATCCTGCCTAACATGAAGAATTGTATACCTTGGGAGTAGTACAGAAAATTAATCTGGGGGCTTGAACCATTTTGCGCCTGAAGGCCAGAAACAGTGTCAAGCTGTTACTTCTTGTTCAGAATACTCGACAATTTGCATTTTGGAAAATAATGAGAATATTTGAACCTCTGGCATTTTGGCAATCATTAAGGCGCTACGCCATTCGGCCAAGGGTTACCTTAAGCATGGTGGCTGACACAAATTAGAAGGACTGACAGTGAATGCCCTGTGGGAATATTTTGGGGATAAAACGAGGGTTAACCGTTCGGTGTAAGTGTTCTGAATGATGGGGAACAACCTTAGAAGAAGTCTTGGAGTCACTGCTTGCGAACCTCCTGGAAAAGCAGCTTATGGTGGCTGAATTTTACCATTGCAAAAAGCTATCAGCTATACGTAAGCTCCTCCAACTGGTAATCATTTGCAGTTAAAGTACCAGGTGAAAATAAAGATTCAATTGCAGTAAGAGGTGCTCCATTTTGGTGCAAACCCAAGGTTCCTCAATGGACTAGGCTGCAAGTTACGGTTAGTGGGGATATAAAAATTAAGAAAAAACGTTTGCACTTGGTGAAAACTGCTCTTCAGTTCCCCTTCGACTATCCAAGTCTCAAACCCGGATCAACAGACAGTTACCTTGTGGAAGTAGATGCCTCAACAAACTCGAGAGACTTTACCTACCACCTAAGAACTTCCGGTCCTCACTCTTTTCAGCCGAGTTTTCCCTCAATTGGTTCGCATGGGACTGTGGAACCTGTCATCAACTTGTTTAAATCCGCACTGAGGAGCGCTTATTGATAAGTCAGCAATTACAGAGAAGACCCCCCAGTAAAGGTCTTCGGAATGACAGGACCGAATGATAAGATACCTGGATTCACAAAACAGAGCGTTTAGACTTACAACCGTTTCAGACGGCATGCATAGACTGTTTCGTTGTATTATATTCCTTGGCTGCAACGTACGTGCGACGGAAACCACAGCATCGCCCACACTGGATTAAGTCACGCATAGTGTACTTTGGTGTAAACAGAATGCCAAGATCTGATCCTTTGGAAGCCTTGTGGTCTTGAATGCCTTGCAAAAAGTTCATACGTCACTGACCATTATGGTTAGGCATAAGGTTGACGACTTTGTACGTTAAGTAGGGCGGTGATCAAACAGAACAGGCAAACAGAACAACATGAAAAGAGGAAGACCACAATACCTCACAAACGGATGGACGTTTGTTTTAACACAAACTACCGATGAGACTGAGGTAGTGATAAAAAGGAAGAGCCTCAGTTCATTGCAACCGATTTCGTGGACACGCAAATTCGATCCACAAGCTTGAACTATGATGAATTTTTCAGACGAATTTTGACGAAACATTAAAAATCAAGAAAGTAGCGATAAAATATCGACCCATAAATTTGCCAGAGTGAAGACCTTCAACTGTCAAATTAAGTGGTCTATAGCTTCGTGAGTCTTAAATACTCTTTTCTTTTTGATATCCGATCAGTGGTGTTCAAAATCAGCTTAATCAACGGCGAACAATAGCACACCAGTGAAACTGTTAGGTGGGATATTAGTTTATAATCAATGTTATATAAGTTACCATTGTAGCGGTAGCTAGTGAACACTTGAGCACAATTTTTAATGCATAGAGGCTGGTGTATAATCTGGATACAAAATGTCTTAAGTTGTATTCCTTTAGTTATATCTTCAATTATATGGATCAATATTTCAAATGAAGCGAGTGGGACGAGCAAGAATCCAAAGCAGACACTCCGGACAACTGAGAAATCCAAAATCCTCAGACAATTTCTTTCCAACTATTTCAAACAGACAACGAATACAGAACACATTGTGGGAATTTGTAAACGAACTTTCTTTTTGGGAATTTCACAAACCTACCTTAATCGAAAATGTCTGATATTTCGCATTGGAAATATTAAATGCTTAGTTGGCCACAGTATTCAAAATATTAGCTGCTTCGGAAGTGTGTTCTTGCAAATCATTCATTAGTGGAGGCGGTCAGGCACGTCTGGTACTAGATGTAACCCTCAGGATCATTCACTGTGCAAATGCAGTGTACAGACTAAACCACTTTGATCGTCTTTTGAGTGTCGCCGCTTGCGTATGTCTACTCTTCAAGCAATAAGTAGTTCTCCTTTTGTATATTAATCAATAATTCCCCAGACGACTGGTTCCCTGAAGAAATCCTGTTGGTCAGTGCTACAACTGGCATTGGATACCACATATTCAAGGAAAACTGATAAAGTCCTCCCTAAAACGGGACTAGGCAACAATATACTGAGACATCTGGTTCAACCTAATCTAGCTGCTTGCTTGGGTTTTTAACGAGCACGGTGCGTTTGAAAAATCGAGCACCCCGATTTTCAAGTAGAGAATAGGAAAACGCCTGGAAAGCAGTCACGCTCCTTAGGCAACCAAAACGAGACGAAATTAGTGCTGATTGAAAAAGGTTGACAGGTACACTGTCGGTGGTTTTGTGGGGCACCGCTTCACGGTGAATTCCTTGAGAGTTTGTTTTTTCAAGTCAGCTGTGGTACACGTGCGCGTGAGTATGGGTGTATTCTTGAGACAGTAACAACGTAATGTGTTATTGAATGTTCAGCATGAAAAACTCACTATCGAGTTGTTGAAGGGATACTAAATGAAACGCAGCAGCGATACAACTGTGTACAACTGTCTACCGAAGTCAAGTGAATGATTTAAACAGCAGATGACTCATTTGGATAAGTTTATGCCTTTGAAAGTATCAGCCTTTCCGTACAAAAGGCTGAAAGCTCACATCGTGAGCAGCTGCTGTAGGTGAGAAACTTTCTAGCATTTAATGGATCAACTGATGCATCGAGTCCGCATCCTAGACTCGTAACTCGTTGTTACGGAAGAGCTGGCACTGTTTTCCGCAGGCGTTGAAATGCCACCGAAAGGTTTGTTCTTGAAAGAACTAAAGCAGGCGTAGTCAAAATGGAATTTGTGCGAGAAGTGTAAGGTTCGACGAAGGAAATCCAATCCTGGTGCGAGCAAAGTTTTGATAATTTCACCTAAAACTTCAGAGAAGACGTATTTACAAACACATATAAAACAGTGAACCAAAGCCGACCTAGATATCTCAGCAGAAGACAACGTCAATAAAACGCTTTTGCTATGCGCATGTCTAAGCGCACTGTCCAACCGGAATCGCAGGAATTGCAGCTTGAACTGCAAAAGGACCTCGGATTGGATATCTCGGTTTACAGTAAAAAAAAATCAAAATTTTGCGAATGAATCATTTTCTTTTTTACTTGACATATCACTAGAATCGTGAAAGTAGCAAGTATTATTTGAATCTTCAGCCGGTCGGAGACAGGTGAACAAAAATGTGGGTAGCCTTATTAAAAAAGCGATCCATCAGATCCATCACAAGGGGGTTTTGCTGATACACGACCCTACTGTAATATAAGACGAGGGACACATTATTTGCATTTTTACATATAATTTCATGCATAGTTTGGACTTAGTTAACACATGTAGATGAATGGAAATGTTCTAACTGGTACGAGGTATGGGAGCTAGTTACTTCTGTTCTTGTCTGAAAGACCTCTGGTTAGCTGATTTTTTCCGTTTCATGTCTGTACGACTGATCTGTGAAGTCTCTCTATCGAGGAAATGTTTTTTTTTTAATAAGAGAAACACAGGCACCATCTGGATTATTGCCCACGAAAGGTCCAACCACATCTGAATGCGAAAACATTGACCCATATTAAGGGAGCATATGACCAGTTCAGTAGCATAGTAACGTCACGCTCAAAACTCCAGTGACAACATGACTTTTAGCCAACTCTGAGATGTACACATTTTACATCTGGCCTACACCTAGTCGTGGTTTTCACATTGTTGCATTCTCTATGAGCAAGCGGTTAGGCTTCGAGGTGTCAGTCTTTAAGGAGGCTGTTGTATACAAAATTCTACTCAGGTCAGCTGCATCTCTCTACATGTTAGCGTCAAGATGAGGTCATACGTAGAGAAGAAAACTACTGGTATAAACATCCTATGTTAGTTCTGCATTCGAACACACACACACAGCTTAGACCAGTTCAGCAGACGCGTGGCTCTGCTGTGCCTGCATGACTACACTGATATGTGCAACTAATATGACAGAATGTGGACAGTTCGTTGACTCGCAGGTGTATATCGTTTGTTGGCGTCAGCAAGGTGTATCAAGCTTCGTGATGAACTCACAAAAATTCATTTGCACCAATCAGTCGGAACTTTTTGATCCCGAAATCGTTTGGATAAAAAATTAGTTTTCAACTCTCACTTCTCACTTTACAACAAAAGACAACGCAGATCTGAGGAAAACCATCACACTTGTCACCAAGCTTCGTGATGAACTCACAAAAATTCATTTGCACCAATCAGTCGGAACTTTTTGATCCCGAAATCGTTTGGATAAAAAATTAGTTTTCAACTCTCACTTCTCACTTTACAACAAAAGACAACGCAGATCTGAGGAAAACCATCACACTTGTCACCAAGCTTCGTGATGAACTCACAAAAATTCATTTGCACCAATCAGTCGGAACTTTTTGATCCCGAAATCGTTTGGATAAAAAATTAGTTTTCAACTCTCACTTCTCACTTTACAACAAAAGACAACGCAGATCTGAGGAAAACCATCACACTTGTCACCAAGCTTCGTGATGAACTCACAAAAATTCATTTGCACCAATCAGTCGGAACTTTTTGATCCCGAAATCGTTTGGATAAAAAATTAGTTTTCAACTCTCACTTCTCACTTTACAACAAAAGACAACGCAGATCTGAGGAAAACCATCACACTTGTCACCAAGCTTCGTGATGAACTCACAAAAATTCATTTGCACCAATCAGTCGGAACTTTTTGATCCCGAAATCGTTTGGATAAAAAATTAGTTTTCAACTCTCACTTCTCACTTTACAACAAAAGACAACGCAGATCTGAGGAAAACCATCACACTTGTCACCAAGCTTCGTGATGAACTCACAAAAATTCATTTGCACCAATCAGTCGGAACTTTTTGATCCCGAAATCGTTTGGATAAAAAATTAGTTTTCAACTCTCACTTCTCACTTTACAACAAAAGACAACGCAGATCTGAGGAAAACCATCACACTTGTCACCAAGCTTCGTGATGAACTCACAAAAATTCATTTGCACCAATCAGTCGGAACTTTTTGATCCCGAAATCGTTTGGATAAAAAATTAGTTTTCAACTCTCACTTCTCACTTTACAACAAAAGACAACGCAGATCTGAGGAAAACCATCACACTTGTCACCAAGCTTCGTGATGAACTCACAAAAATTCATTTGCACCAATCAGTCGGAACTTTTTGATCCCGAAATCGTTTGGATAAAAAATTAGTTTTCAACTCTCACTTCTCACTTTACAACAAAAGACAACGCAGATCTGAGGAAAACCATCACACTTGTCACCAAGCTTCGTGATGAACTCACAAAAATTCATTTGCACCAATCAGTCGGAACTTTTTGATCCCGAAATCGTTTGGATAAAAAATTAGTTTTCAACTCTCACTTCTCACTTTACAACAAAAGACAACGCAGATCTGAGGAAAACCATCACACTTGTCACCAAGCTTCGTGATGAACTCACAAAAATTCATTTGCACCAATCAGTCGGAACTTTTTGATCCCGAAATCGTTTGGATAAAAAATTAGTTTTCAACTCTCACTTCTCACTTTACAACAAAAGACAACGCAGATCTGAGGAAAACCATCACACTTGTCACCAAGCTTCGTGATGAACTCACAAAAATTCATTTGCACCAATCAGTCGGAACTTTTTGATCCCGAAATCGTTTGGATAAAAAATTAGTTTTCAACTCTCACTTCTCACTTTACAACAAAAGACAACGCAGATCTGAGGAAAACCATCACACTTGTCACCAAGCTTCGTGATGAACTCACAAAAATTCATTTGCACCAATCAGTCGGAACTTTTTGATCCCGAAATCGTTTGGATAAAAAATTAGTTTTCAACTCTCACTTCTCACTTTACAACAAAAGACAACGCAGATCTGAGGAAAACCATCACACTTGTCACCAAGCTTCGTGATGAACTCACAAAAATTCATTTGCACCAATCAGTCGGAACTTTTTGATCCCGAAATCGTTTGGATAAAAAATTAGTTTTCAACTCTCACTTCTCACTTTACAACAAAAGACAACGCAGATCTGAGGAAAACCATCACACTTGTCACCAAGCTTCGTGATGAACTCACAAAAATTCATTTGCACCAATCAGTCGGAACTTTTTGATCCCGAAATCGTTTGGATAAAAAATTAGTTTTCAACTCTCACTTCTCACTTTACAACAAAAGACAACGCAGATCTGAGGAAAACCATCACACTTGTCACCAAGCTTCGTGATGAACTCACAAAAATTCATTTGCACCAATCAGTCGGAACTTTTTGATCCCGAAATCGTTTGGATAAAAAATTAGTTTTCAACTCTCACTTCTCACTTTACAACAAAAGACAACGCAGATCTGAGGAAAACCATCACACTTGTCACCAAGCTTCGTGATGAACTCACAAAAATTCATTTGCACCAATCAGTCGGAACTTTTTGATCCCGAAATCGTTTGGATAAAAAATTAGTTTTCAACTCTCACTTCTCACTTTACAACAAAAGACAACGCAGATCTGAGGAAAACCATCACACTTGTCACCAAGCTTCGTGATGAACTCACAAAAATTCATTTGCACCAATCAGTCGGAACTTTTTGATCCCGAAATCGTTTGGATAAAAAATTAGTTTTCAACTCTCACTTCTCACTTTACAACAAAAGACAACGCAGATCTGAGGAAAACCATCACACTTGTCACCAAGCTTCGTGATGAACTCACAAAAATTCATTTGCACCAATCAGTCGGAACTTTTTGATCCCGAAATCGTTTGGATAAAAAATTAGTTTTCAACTCTCACTTCTCACTTTACAACAAAAGACAACGCAGATCTGAGGAAAACCATCACACTTGTCACCAAGCTTCGTGATGAACTCACAAAAATTCATTTGCACCAATCAGTCGGAACTTTTTGATCCCGAAATCGTTTGGATAAAAAATTAGTTTTCAACTCTCACTTCTCACTTTACAACAAAAGACAACGCAGATCTGAGGAAAACCATCACACTTGTCACCAAGCTTCGTGATGAACTCACAAAAATTCATTTGCACCAATCAGTCGGAACTTTTTGATCCCGAAATCGTTTGGATAAAAAATTAGTTTTCAACTCTCACTTCTCACTTTACAACAAAAGACAACGCAGATCTGAGGAAAACCATCACACTTGTCACCAAGCTTCGTGATGAACTCACAAAAATTCATTTGCACCAATCAGTCGGAACTTTTTGATCCCGAAATCGTTTGGATAAAAAATTAGTTTTCAACTCTCACTTCTCACTTTACAACAAAAGACAACGCAGATCTGAGGAAAACCATCACACTTGTCACCAAGCATCGAAAGTTTCAAAAACATGGGCTTACCTGTTGACTTCACGGGCCAACGTGGTCACATCATTATGCTGAGAATACAGAGACGCCTCCATAAAAGTCAGTAAATGACCAAGTTTGAAGTTGGGATAACTGACATGCACATATGAAGACACTGCGCCACCCACAAGACAACTGAGCCGACTCTTTCGGTACAGTTTTCTTCCGACGTTAACCCCACAGACGAAAAAACGCCGTTTGGAAACCACTGGTAGCGTAAGGAGCTTTGCGAATTTCCCTCTGTATATGAAGCCGATCTGCGCTTCGCGGCTTCTCATTATAAATTATCTTCATTTGCAGCACATAATATCCATTTTGGAATTCATCTTTACCTGAAGAAGGGGTTACGATGATTGGTACCATTAGAAAGTGTCCTCTTCGGGGGGAGAGGTTTTTCGTATTCATGGATGTTTTCAAACGCTCAAGTTACATCTTGTTTTTTATCAAGTTAGTTGATACTATTTATGTGCACTTGACGATTATTTTTTCAGTTTTATCACAGTTTAAGACTGTAGAAACCATTGATTTTGTAAGGAACATCGATACTTAATTGATGTATTTTTATTGCATACAGGCTGGCAAATTACAAACACCGCAGCGTTACAGACAAGTGAGTACTCCCCAAGCCCGTAGATCATCTTCGCCTAGTCCCTTGCTTGCTTCTCCACACTTCTAATGAAACCTTCTTGTGTAAATTCCACAGAAGAACCACCGGAATCACAAAGAAACTGCAAAGTACCTACAATAAACGACGGTACGTGGTTCACCATTTTGTTACCCAAGTAGACGTGTATAGTTCTGAAACAAACTGGTCAAGGTGAAATTTGTTTCTTGCTGACTTCCTGATCGGATACAGGCCTTCCACTTACGATGGGAAAGGCGGTTTCCCTGCAGAAGCAATGAAACTTTAGATTAATGTCAGCTAACCGCCCTCCTGTTAGCCGTAATTAAAAAAACTCTAAAAAGTCTACTCGTCAGAACGCCTCAAAGGAGTTTCCTTATCTCGTAATTGCCTCCAGACAAAATCTACTGTAAACAGCTGGTATAGTATAGACGTATCCTTATGCCACGTTGTTATATTTGACGTCGCAACAGCAGTGTTTAATTTTGATCACCAATGGTGGTGTGAAGAGAGTTGGTTTTGTCCTGCCAGTGATGCTAACCTGTGTTGAAAACCCGAGAAGCATTATACAGTTGTTTTATCCATGTTGGGAATCATCAGCAATGAGCACCTCACAAAATTCAGAGCTTCAAACCCACGTCCTTCTGACCAATGGTTAGACCACGAACGGCTGACCAGCAGTATGGTGGGCTGATTACCAAGAGCTAATTATATCGCTGTTCAGTCAGCCGTGCACGAAAGATAAAGTGTCGAAACACTGAGTTTCGCGATACATGCGCTGCTGAAGATTACCGATAAGAACAAAACAGCTGCAAATTGCTTCTTGGCTTTTCAGTATAGAGTGGCCTCACGGACAACACGGAATCCGACTGAGTTCTACTCAAAAGTTCATGACTAATTAAACGTCCGTTTAACAATCACTTATAAGACACGACTAAATAGCTGTTTTTAATAAGGTTCAAAAGGGTTTTCGTTTATTCACAGAGCCCTCATCCGGTGTTTACCAGCTTCTCCTGTGACCGGACAGTGCTGAGATATCAATCAACTCCTTGGGCCGACAAGATGTTTGTCTGATAGTCCGGTTGCCCCCATCGAACGAACGATGAAAAGTGAAAAAACACGTATATTTTCGGGTGGTAAGACATGTCGTCTAATAGGCAGGGTACAACCAATGATGTTCCGGGCCGTTTTGGACCCAAGTATCTAATCATTGGTCAAATAGCTCGTGTCATCCCACCATGAACATCAGTCGAGCGATGAAATCGATATATCCCTCTGATCAAATACCTGTTACCTAGGAACATTTCGTTACACGCGTGATCTACGGAAATCGGGTAGGAAAATAGAAAGCTTCACATAATTCACATACTTCCAAAATTCCGGACATACTCTTGTTTTCTTCGGAAACGGGGCATCATCCGAAAAGTCCGATTCTCAGTTGGCCTTTAAAGTCGAGTAGCGAGGGTTGTAATATTTCTCCTCCCGGTTACCAGTGTTTTCAGAGAAGATAAATAAAACGAGGATAGAGCATTAATACGCGTTTAAGTCAGTATTCTTGAGCGAATTGAAAACGACAATATTTCACCTTTCATTACGTGATACTCGTGGCATACTACCCAGAGCATGAATCACTACATATTTACCAACGGGCTAAAACCAGATTCTGGACTCTACCCGCGGCAGCTATTCAAATAATCAATGTCAGTTGATTTCGCGCACAACTCGGAGGCAGCTTATCAAACTAAGGTATACATTCACTACTATCAGAAGCTTATTCAAGTTACACTAATCTACTTTAGTGAACGGAAGCGACCTTGAAAAAGGTATCATTAAGCCCTAATTACACAGTAGATCCCACCAAAGACCATAAACAACAGAAAATACTGGTTTTGAGTAGTCAAATTTCCTCAGAATTTTTATCTTTCCCAGTAAATTTTTACAAGCCTTTGGGGATGACATTTTTCTCGTTTTGCTGTATCTTTTTTTACCTATTTTGTAATCAAGCTTTTGATATATCTAAAAACCTGAAACCTGTTTTAGTGTCAGTGATTCCTGTCACGGTTCGGATGTCCAATGAAGAGCCATCTTTGGATGAGTTATCAGACGCATTCAAAGCAGCAAACTGGAAAGTGAGTTCTGCACAAAATTTTGAATCGTTGTTTGCTAACATGGAGGGACAAGAGCCTTGCATATCAACTTCACCGCATAGGTTGTACCGACGGCAATTCTAACCTCAGTCCTAATTAGGGACCAAGTGCTTCAAAGCCTGATGGGACATAATCAAAGTCTTACCGCGATGGGCCACAGTAAGATACGTTCATATGCAATAGCGCTTTTTATATTCAATGGTCTCTACTCTCTTCAGGACTGAGTTTCACGTCCAAATGTTGCAAGAATTCCTATTGATTCAAAACATGTTCACATGTATTTCTTATGCACTTTACTATGTACTTTATTTTGCTTTGCTGGTTGGCAGTAGTCGAGAAATCGCCTCTTTCCAATTATCATCTGGTTTGGATGTGTGAACCAAAATCGGGGTCAAATCGAATACAGGGTTTCGAAAAGTTATTTTCCGAGAAATTTGGTCCTAATTGTGGATGTTTTCAGGATTTGTACTATACACATCTACACAAATCTCGTTTGAACAGTTCTCCTGGCGTCCTGGTACATGAACATTTCTGACAGTTCAGACATGATAAGTCAGATTCGTAGTGCGTGGGGTAATGGTAACACCCTCACCTAACGCGTCAGGAACTAGGTGTCAAAATCCAGCAAGCTCAGTGATGTGCAACGCTAATGAGCTCTCCGAAGAGAGGATCAAGGGCACGGTGTTGTAGACTCTCGAGAATAATGCATATATATATACCCTTAGCCGGGAATTGTGGGTGAACTAGAATCGACACTAGAGTAGCCGTCCCTGGTGATAATATATTTAACCAAAGAATAGTGTATCGTCAGTACTCCGCAAATTCCATGCCTTTCTTCTGGTACTGATCGGTTAAAGGGTGAACTAGAATCGACACTAGAGTAGCCGTCCCTGGTGATAATATATTTAACCAAAGAATAGTGTATCGTCAGTACTCCGCAAATTCCATGCCTTTCTTCTGGTACTGATCGGTTAAAGGAATGCTCAAGACCAGCACCACGTTCAGCCACGTCCAAGCCCTGTTGAAAAATTTACGTATGCCCTGTCCAATGTTAGAGTATTAAAATTGGACTTGTGAACTCTAGTAGTTTTTAAATTTCCCCACGAGGGCAGACATATTCACCAACTGTCCACGAATCCTGATTTTGGAACCAATTCTCGGTTAACAATTCACAATACCACCCTTCAAATTTTTCTTTGAGTATAATGGATGGACCGCGCGTAGTCCCAACGGTATCGATTTTAAAGCGAACCGCGGCAGACCATTGATGAATGCCTCTTTAGAGCACATCCAACCATCTGATTCAGCTTAGAACCGAAATTTAATTAAAAGGCAAAGATCGTTATAAAAATCGAACTTCCAAAGTTGTTCCATTGTGTTAAATGAATATATGCCCAAGCCTCGCCCCGGAATTTTGCAGTAGAGTTTCAAGTCACCTGGTTGAAGTATAAAACAGTTTGGAGGATGAGCAACCCTTGGCAGGATTCAAACTGACGTTAAGGTGAACAACGCAGTAAGACAGCGGTCGGCTAATTTTCAAGTTTATGTTAGTAGTATCCTATTTCCTTTACGGCAGCACTATTCGCACATGTAAATAGACACTCACGTTTTATTGTTTGACTCAACTTTGACCTCTGTGTGAAACAATGAGTATAAACCAGCCTATCAAAATCCATGCAACTGGGTAGTATGGTCTATCCGGTGGTAGACTTTATTTTAGACAGCGGATGAAGTTTCACCGTATTTTCTTCTTTTGGAAGAATGACAAAAATGGTAATGTCAGTTGGATTAGATCAAAGGTGTCATCTGGTTCACGGTATAGGGCACCAACTTTTACTGTTCATTTGTAATTTTACCTCAGATTTTCAATTTCTGTGAAAGCTGTTAAAAAAACACTGAAAACTGGCACGTCGGAGTAGCCTAACACTCCATTCAGTGTCTCATCCGCTTTTAACTATGGTTTTTCCTCAATGGGAAAATTTTGGAACCGACTGAGAAGCCATCATCGCAGAAGGGCTTGGCTAACAATCGACAGTTTTTAACTGGGCAAATTTTCACTTTTAACATGAAGACTCCATCAAGCCACGTAAGCAGGTCACCAATTTGGCCAGGTTTTAAGGAAGATGAAGAACCAGTCAGTAGGACCTC